ATATATATATATATACATAAATATACCTTACCTATTACCTAATGTTAAATGGACCTATTTATGTTTGTATATCATTAAAGACATTGACTAGTAAGTATGCATATGTGTTGTATATAGATCCATAATATAATTATATATAATACATATTATATATAGGAGTTGATTAGACTGCTAACAATAGAATATAATGGTTGACTGAAGTTTTAGGCGAACGAATGAACAAATGAATGTATGAACGAACGGACGAACGAACCATAACACAGGTACGCTCGCACGATTTATTAAAGGCACGACATTTTCAACGAAAAACCATGTTATTACTATCATTTTCATATTATTATTATTATTTCGTTATTATTATTATTTCATAATTTATTTCGTATCTACGTCAATTTAATTGTAAATATTTATTTTTCATTCTTTAAACATATTTGTGTGATGCTATTGGCGATAACCGAGTTGAGTTTATTGTTGTTGAAATGATTGTTTTAAGTTTCACGGATTGTTATCATTGGAGATAAAGCTACGTTCTTGAGAAACATATACGCTACATGTTACTTTCAACAATATTTTCTCCATAGGATATCAGGTTAATGTTGTTACTTATGCATTAACTCCACGTGTTGCTAAATGAATGTTTGTGGTTGAATGGGATATATGGTTACTATGTTTGGTTGGTGTTTTGGGATGATTTTTTTGTCGCTGAAATTTTTGTCGACCTGATCGCTACTGCAGCAGCGGATATGTTCCTGAGGAGGATGCTGATGAAACCGGCCGGTGAACTCTCACTGAAAGTTAGTTTGCGTTCATTTTTTACAAACTTAGTGACGAATGAAACTCCAAATTAAAATTTAAATATCGATTGATTTCAAAACCATCTTGCAACAACATTGATATCATCCATAATAACACAACATGCACGCAGGAAATATTTGTTTGCTTCTTCTTGCTGGTCCTCGCTTTCAACATCCTCATCTACTTCACCCGCTATCAATCAAGTCAGTCACTGTGGAGCGTTAAATATGGATTCAACTCTCAACTGACCACCCAACTGACCAATCCACTGAGTGAAGAAGAAAAGCAGGCACTACTCAACAACAACAAACTCAACCCGCTTGCAAATAACCTACTACCAACAACCACGCCCCAGTACCAAACCACGACATTCCAAATAGAAGAGAAACGGCGTTCTAGACCGATCCCTCCCGAATCTCCGTGCAAGAGACCAAAGCATGGTCGGCTGAGAGATGATGGCAGGTGGTTCGATTTCGGAGCACGCGGCATGTTCCTCTTCGCCTACACGGCATTTTTCGACGATCGAGAGTCTCTGCAGAGCGATCCAGTCATCAGGGTCATAGCCATGTCGACCATCATCGAAAACATGGCCCACCAGCCCAACCTCATCTGCAGATTTTATTACCCACTCGATCAGAACGGAAATTTAAAAAGCAGAGATTCCGAGGATGATGACGAAAGCGGAAGTAAACACAACCATCAGGATGCCTTCATCGACGTGCAAGTCGAGAAAAATCCCATCAGAAAAATGGGGATGGGCTGGCAGTTGAATTATAAATTGGTTCGTGAATATTTATTCACCTGCCCTCTACCGACAGTCGAACAACTTTTAGAGCTGCCCAACGTGAACGGTTCGTTGATTGCCGAGGTGGAAGATCTCATCCCAAGCTGGCTAACGTTATTGGCAGGCAGCGAGGAGGCTGAAAAAGTGGCGTCCTGCATGCCTATCGAAGTACCAGAGAAGCCGAAAGTCCAGAAAGAATTCGCGCTCTGCGTGCAGGTCAGTTGATAAGATGGCAGAACGGATGAACTGTCGGTCGCAACTGAAATATGAATTCTAATCTGGCTAATAGCTCGGTTGATCAAAAACTAACAAAAATTAATATTTTATCCGGTCATTTGTAATTAAAGTAACAAACTAATACCGTTCAGTTTAAAATTGTTGACATTTCGACATTTTATGCTTCAAAATTTTTGTTTCAATTGAATGATAAAAGTTGATAAACATGTATTTCCTGTTCACGCACCAACCAGATTGGATACGGCGCCATAGACCCAGTACATCTGGTAGAATGGATGGAACTGCAGAAGATACTGGGTGTCGATGTCATTGGCTTTTATGACATGGAAATTGACGAGCCCGCGATGGCTGTACTGAAGCACTATGCCGAGGAAGGTCTGGTCGACTTGAGGAGGTCTGACTACATTCCGAACGGGCCTCAACAATATATGCTCCATGGATCACCGGTTGGCTTTTTTGTAATAATATATCTTTTATCCATCCTATAAATGCCTTATATTGTTATTTTTATCGGTATGTAGTTGTCAGGTATATGACGATTTTTAAATTATATGAATATTCAGAATGGATAACCCTGATAATGAGCTATTTTAAAATGTAAACACTTGAAACAGTTCTTCTAGAAATCTATATTTAATTTAGGTTATAAACGATTGTATGTATAGACACATGTTTACTCATCGTTACCTACTGGTATACGATGTAGATGAAGTTATACTGCCCTTAAAGAAAACAAGCACCTCTCAAACCCTCAACAACTTCAGGTAGTAATTTTATAACATCGTTTAACTGAACATTAATTTTACTTGGTTTTTTTTATCTACTTTCTTTGTTATATTTCTATATTTCTAATAAGACAAATAAAACATGTTTAATTAAAGATGTTGCAAAATGTTTCTGAAATGTAAAACATTTTGAAAATGTTGTAAAATTTCATGGATGAGTTGTATTATTTCCCGTAAAACCTGTATCTCGATTGAACAGTAGTTTAGTGCAGATGATTAAGGAGAAACACGGCAACGACCCACGTCTCTACCTCTTCAGGAATCATTATTTCTTCACTGACCTGCCACCTGACCAGAGGGAACTATCAGAGTTTACATTCTTAAAATATCGACAAAGTGTTTGTATATTTTATTAACCCTTTTATCGGATCAATGCAAAACTATTGCTGAATAGATAATCATCTGAGCATTTTTTGACCAATAACTTGTAATATTGTTTTTAAAAGAGTAATCAAATCCAACATTAAATACATCATTCCATAGGTACCGGTTTCTGTTTTCGGCTACTCAACGAAGAGCCTAACAGATCCACAGACGTGCGTCGTAATGCACAACCACTTTTGCTGGAGTTACACTAAGAAGTACGAGACAATGAAAATGTTGGACGTTGACATGACGTTGGCAGTCAATCAACATTACAAAAAATGTCATCTGCCTACGAGCGAGTGTACAGGGCTTCTGAAACAGGCAAGCGAAAATAAAGCAATTGTGCCCTATCGAGACGAGTTGATTACAAATGTTCATAGAACGGTTACAATTATTCGACAGAAAGTTAAGGATTTAGAAAACGATGATCCTTTCAAAGGACATTTTAAAGAAATTGTTTTGTGAATTTTTTTCTATTTTTAGTAATTCAAAAATTATTTATCGAGTATGTTTTTGTTAACGTTGTTAATTGGCTTAATGGAGTTTTTCCTACAATTTTAGAAGCGTGTTTGAAATATGTTTCATGTATTTTTGACAAATGCATCTATTTGACGGTGGCAATATTTTTCGAAATCTTCGACTTAACCAGTTGATAGTCCCACTAGATTCTTTATTAACAGTGACAGGCGTTAACATCTTTCACTGTTCACGCATCATCATTATTCTTGCACACCGTTCTTCTATTTTCTTCCCACTACTAACTTTCCTAAAATGATATCAGGTGTTTCAATATTTCTTTGATAAAGTAGGCTCGTTAGTTTACCCTTTCAAATCAAAACTATAAAAATATATAAAACAAATAATCATATCTAATAAATAATCCAACAAACTCAACTTTAAGCCACCAAGTGCAGGTTCTACTTATCATTTATGAAATGTGAATAAATTGTTAGCTTGTCTGATGTTTTAAAAGTTTTTTTTATTTAATTTGTTTCTATGTATGCTGAAGTTGATACATGTATAAAATAAAATTATGATTCTTTAATGTTGAATTAAAAATTTGTATTGAAAATCTTTTCATTTTATTTTTATTTAGTTCAATATTTTCAATTATTTATTTTATACGATTAAGCTTGAGCATTTTTGTGTCTTGAATTAAGTTTCAAAATGTACTGTATTAAATTCATAGATATATATAATAGCATCAAAAATTCCATGGGTTTAGAATAAAAAATAATTTAAAAAATATTATATTACATTAAACGTTATCCAATGAAAAATAAATGTTGTTTTAAATGTTTGGTGACATTACTTGATGAGTATCGGTACCAGCATATCATTTGTATATTTGAATATTTTTCATCAACAGGATAGTAATATTACGCCTTAGAAAAATGAGAACGCGTCCACAAAATGACGATATCAGCAGCCAATGAGATTCGGTTGGCCAAGTACCACAATAATAGCAAAAATGTCTAGTAATCCGCAAATTCATCGCAAAGGTTTTTTAAATATTTAATTTTATTTATTTTATTCGTTTTATTAATTTTTTAACTTAAATAAATTTAATTCGATTATATTTTTAAATTTTAAATTTCAGTTTTGGCCAAGCAAAACAAAAGTAAACGATCAAAAGCTAAAAATAAATTAAAAGAAAAAGATGATAAAAAAGTGCCAAAGTCTGTATTTTTTTATTTTATTAATTTCAAATTTAAATTTATCATCAAATTGATTACATTATGATTATTAAAGAAATGAAGGCTTGACAAACAAGTCGACAATAGGAACAACTACAGCAGCAACAGTAGGTTCCACAGTAAACACAAACAGTCATGAGTCTCAGCAGCCTGTTGCTGAGACCGAGAAGGAACAAACGACTCAACCCACATACGTACCGCCGCCAGTGTTGTTGGACCCAGTCCTCGAGAGAAGGAACAGCGATGAGGAGGATGAAATGAGACAAAAGGAAATTTGTTCTGGGGAGAAAGAGGAAGAGGAAGATGAAGAAATACTGGGATCGGATAATGATGAACAAGAGGATCGTAAAGATTATTGCAAAGGTTATATCACGTAGTTCATTAATAATTTTAACTTATTTAATTTGATGTTAATCAGTTTTTTAAATTTTTCTTTTATCAAATCAAATAAATAAAAATTGTTTATGAAATATTTAATTTTATTTATTTCAGGTGGCTACCATCCAGTCAAAATAGGGGATCTCTTCAATGGCAAATACCATGTGGTCAGGAAGTTAGGATGGGGACATTTTTCTACTGTCTGGCTTTGTTGGGATTTAATGTAGGTTTTTTTAATAAAGTTTTTTTTTCTATATTATACTTACCTAAATATTTTATTATGTGGTTTTTTAAAGTAAAATCTTGTTTTTAAAAATAATTTTAAAGTTTTCTTAATCATCGTTGGACAGTTTAAAAAGATTTGTAGCCTTGAAAGTGGTCAAAAGTGCCCAACAGTACACTGAGACTGCTATTGATGAGATTAAACTTCTTAGATGTGTAAGCTAATTAATTGCTTTATTATTCTAAAAAATGTTAATAAATTTTCAATAAATATTAATATATTTAATTTTTATTAAATTAATAAATTCAGACTTTTACGTTTAGTTGGGGTATTATTAAACATAGATTGATAAATCCGCATCATGTACACACCAAGCTCGCTTTTGCTTATTCATTAAAAATAAATTGCCCAAAATTACTAATTTTCAAAATTGATGAATTTGAAAATTGTTAAGTTATTATTTATTATACTTGGAAAGCCACAAAAATTGATAATTAAATTTGTTCAGCTTGTGAAGCATTATCTTTTTGTATTGCTTTTGGATTATTGCCTTATGATTTGAAAATAGTGGATGCAAAGTTGTTTTTTTTATAAATTTATAAAAAATCATCTTTAAAAAAAATCTATCAATTTTTAAGTATTTCTAGATGAACAAAACAAATATCGTTATCCTTTTTTTAAATGTTGTTTTTTTTTTATAAATTTATAAAAAATCATCTTTAAAAAAAATCTATCAATTTTTAAGTATTTCTAGATGAACAAAACAAATATCAAGTTATCCTTTTGCTACCATGTGCTAAACTAAATTGACCTTATTACAAATAGTCGGTCAAGGGATTTTAAAATCAAAAAAACCCCATATTTATTTTAATTTAATTCAACTTTTGAAGTATTAATTATTATTTTGTCTTTGGTCTAGGTACGAGACACAAATCGTAATCATCCATATAGGAATAAAACCGTGCAACTGCTGGACGATTTCAAAATCTCTGGAGTCAATGGCACACGTAAGTTTATGTTTAAAAATTATTGGCATAATAACTATTATATTATTACTTAAAATTATAAATTATGATGTTAATTATACTCTTTATTATGATATTTAATATAAAACCTCTTGTAATTATAATTACCATCTGTTTATTGGTTAGTTGGATTATCAATTTGATTTCAAATTTTTTTTTTTGGTTTTCATTTTTGTATCTATGGATGGAATTAATGCATTGTTATATCTATAGATGGGTCTTATTTGGTCTTAAATCTAGGGATGGATTTAATTTGTTTATTTTGATTTAATTTGTTTTTTTTCATATCTATGGACTGATTAGTTTATTTTATATCTATGCATATGCAACAACACAGATGTCTGTATGGTCTTCGAGGTACTGGGGTGTAACTTACTGAAGTTGATAATTCGTTCCAATTACATGGGTATTCCCATAGAGAATGTGAAATCTATCATTAGGCAGGTCAGTACTATTGTTGTTGTTGTTGTTGATGTTGATGTTGTGTTGCTGATGATTTGTTGTTTTTGTTGATGTGTTGCTGTTGTTGTTGATTTGTTATTAATGATTTGTTGTTTTTGTTGATGTGTTGTTGTTGATGATGATTTGTTGTTAATGATTTGTTATTTTTTGTTGATTTGTTGTTGACGTTTTGTTGTTTTTGATGTGTTTTTTAATGTGTTGTTGTTGTTGATGATGTTTTATTAATGTTTTTTTGTTGTTGAAGTTTTTGCTGATGTGTTGCTGTTTTTTTCATCTACACATTTAATCTATTAGTTTTAATTTATTTGTATTATTAATAATTGTTGAGGAACGATGATGATTGTTTGTTGTGGGTTACTAATCTTAAAATGTTATGGTGATAATAATAATTATTATAATTCTATTAATAATAATAATAATAATGGTGATGATAATTTAAATCATAATTTTAATTAGAATAATTATTAGAGTAGTAATGGTATCAATTATAATTGTATGGCTTGTATCATCTATAAGAATGATGAATGGGCATATCATTATTTATTACTACTGTAGATGATGGTTCTTTGATGTTGTTTCTACAAATTATAAGAGTTGTGCTTTTCTAATTGTTGTTGTTGTTGTGTTGTTGCTGTGTTGTTGTTGTGTTGTTGCTGTGTTGTTGCTGTTATTGCCTTTTTTGCTGTATTTATTAATGTTTTTATTGTTATCACATTCTTACTCATTATTGTAAGTCCCATCATCATCATATGATACAAAAATCCTATATATTTCCATCTATTTATAGCAACAATCATATTAGGCATTCCACTTTTATTAAATCAGAGATCTCAAATGGACATAAATTTGTCTGCACTTAGTATATGTATACTCTATACATTCATGTATATTTGAGTGTGTTCGTGTGTGTGTGTGTGTGTTCGTGTGTGTATGTGTGTGTGTACATGTGTGGGTTTTTTGCCCTTTCAATTCCATCTTTCTCTAATTTTTTCTTCCTTTTTCTGGTTCTCTCTCTCTCTCTCTCTCTCTCTCATTCAATAAAATGTTATTGATAGATGTGTTTGTAACTATTGATTGACTGTATTGTATAGACACACCACACACATTACACACCACTCACACACACACAAACATACACAGGCACACACACACACACATGTACAATTACAGTAGGTGTGTTTGTGTGTACAGTTACGTAGTATAGGCTGATGTATGTATGTGTATCATTATAAACTATAAACCTTACATGAATAAGAACTTTATCATGCACATAAATGTTATGTTTTTTTACACTGATTGTCAGTGCAAATTATGTAGAGTTAGTTTGGTTAGATTAGAAGATTGACACATTTTATTTATCTGATTATTTTTGTTTATTTGTGTTTTTTTCAGGTTACTGTTATTCTTGAACCATTTGACTTAGTTTTATTACGTTAGCTATGATGTTAACATTAATGACAGCCGTTAATATGATTTTTTGGTTGAATGTTTGAAAAAACAATTGGTCAGGTATATGGACGAATGAATGAATGAATGAATGGATGGATGGATAGATGGTCATGGCATGAAACTAGATGTGCAATCCTGTATTCTCTTCACGTATGTGTGTTGTAGGTATGATGAGTGTGTGTGTGTGTGTGTGTGTGTGTGTGTGTGTGTGTGTGTGTGTGTGTGTGTGTGTGTGTGTGTGTGTCTGTTTATGATGTTTATATGGACAAATATTGATACATTGCACAGTAAAAGAGGAACAAAAGTGGTGTAGAATTACTAATTTGATGTTGCTTTTTCCTTTGATGCAAACATTTCATCATCAGTCATTGTCCTTCCTCTGTCAATCAGTGTTGTGATAAATGATATCATTGTGAATGATATCATCCTAAATGAAATGATATCTTCATCATCGTCATCATCGTCATCATCGTCATCATCGTTATAAATATAGTCATCAGTACTACCATATATCTTCTGAATTTTTAAAATTTATCTTAAATTTTACTATAATTTTTTTAAAAAATGTCTAAGTTTGTTATCTCCAATAGACAATTGCATAAATATTATTATACTAGTGTTATCAGTAATTTCAAACATCATATGCTAATATGCTGCTCATTATCATTTTTCATCATTATTCTAGCTAGATTCATCACTGGATTTTATCATCATTTAACCATCAATCACAATATCTATTGATTTTTTTTCTCTCTTTCTGTCTATCTATCTGTCTGCCTGCCTGTCTGTCTCTCTCTCTTTCTCTATCTATCTATCTATCTATCTATCTATCTATCTATCTATCTATCTATCTATCTATCTATCTGAAAAATAAATTCTCATTTATTGACTTTTTGTAACCTTTTTTGAGAATAATTATAGCTTAAAGAATATTTTTTTTATTTAATAATGATGAGTTGAATAAAAAATAATAATAATTATGGGTTATAATACAAAAAAAGTAAAACTAAAATGATGTTGGTTTTTTTTTGTTTGCTTGTTTGAATCAGATCACTTAGAGAGTAGAGCAATGAGTGTTGAAGCATTTCTTATTCAATGGATTGAATTGCCTCTATTTTCTATATTATAATAATAATAATAATTATTATTATTATTAACTGTTTTGCTAGTCATATTATTATTTTTATTATTATTATTTTGGATTTTTTGTTGTTGTAGTTTTTATTCTTTTATCTTTTTTTATTCTCTTTAGCTGGTATATGCATATATATTATATATATTATATATATATTATATATATATATATATATATAGTTAGTTAGTTTGTTATACATAGTTAATTTATCTTGGGGTACTTGAATAAACATTTTAAGATTGAACAGATTTATTGATTGATTTGTGCATATTTATTTATTTATTTACTTATTTATTTATTTCATCATCATCATCATCGCCATAACAATCATCGTCACCACAATCATCATCATAATCGATCCCGTGTTTTTAAAATCATCTTCAAAAAATGTTATTAGCTCACTTATGTAGGCTGTTAAAAAAACATGAAAGAGTTACTTCTTTTAAAATGCTTTGTAAGAGAATTGTGAATCAGTGAAGCCTCCATATTGGTGATAACTATACTACTACGTGTTACTACACTTGCTATGGAGTAGTTACTGTTATCACTGCCGCTACTGCTACTACTACTGCTGCTGATGCTACTACTACTACTACTACTACTACTACTACTACTACTACTACTACATAAGTACTACACACACACACACACACACACACACACACGCATATATATATATATATATATATATACATACATATATATATATATATATATATATATTGCCATAAACATAGTGTCATTACTCATTAGCATCAAACCAGTAATAATATTCACATCTCTTAATAATACTAAATACAGAAGTAACTTATAAATGACGTCTTTGTAACTTGTATTATTACTTTTATTATGATAGCAGTGGTAGTAGTAGTGTTAGTAATGTTAGCAGTAGTAGTAGTGGCAATAGTAGTAGTAGTAGTAGTAGTAGTAGTGTTATTGAATTAAAGAATGAATGAACGAAAGAAAGAAAGGCTTGTCCTTGGTTACATACACTCTTACAGGTACATCTCTTTTTCACAACTTAATTGTTGCTGCTATTGGGTGCATGCAAATGTTCAACATCATCACTTCACATTGTCTTGCCTGATTAGTATAACAGCTTAGTAGTATTGCAGTAGCAGTATGTATGTTAGTAAGTTAGTTAAATTAGTTGTTAGTAGCTAGGTAAGTAAATAAATACGTGTGCGTGCGTGCGTGCATGTTACGTAAATTAATTTTAATAAGTAGATCATGACGGTTGTGATCTGCTGTCTCTTAATTAGTTCAACGACTTTATTTTTCTATTAATTATAAATGTAGAAACGTCTATAACGTAAATTTGAAACGTGTACATGCGTGATTTTGAAATTTGGATGAGAAATGGAGGAATATTAAATGAGAAACAAGAAAGGATTGAATGAAAGAAAATGAATGAATGAATGACAAAAGGAGAGATAGAGCAAAAGAGAGATAGAGCGGGAGCAAGGGAGTAGTAGTAGTACTAGTTTCATAGTAAATCTATTTCTTATTGTTGTTGACGTTGCTCTAGTAGATCAATTCAAAAAATTTGGGCGTTGTTTCGTTTGTAAGCCTTGCAAAAATCTACCTTATAAATTTGTTTACTTGTTCGTTTGTATGCATTGTTGTATCTATCTGTCTGCCTGTCTATCTATCTATCTATCTATCTATCTATCTATCTATCTATCTATCTATCTATCTATCTATCTATCTATCTATCTATCTATCTATCTATCTATCTATCAATCAATCAATCTGTATGTTTATAATCTTATAAGTTATTAAGCTGTAAGTATATCTGTTTGTATGTCATTCTGTTATCGGTTTTTATCTTCTATTTACATCTTTCAAGGCATTTTTCAACATCTGAATAGCACACACACACATACACATACACACTATATACATTCTAATGCACATGTATCTATCTACATTGATTTTAAATCTTTGGTTCAACACTTTCTGAATCTCCTTACTAGCTTTTTGTCCCTACATGTGAATAAACTAATAATTAATTGAATGAGTAATTTGCTAATTAATTGCATGGTTAATTTTTTAATTAATTGAATAATTAGTTTACTAATTGAATGAATGATTAACTTATTATTTAAGTCATTTTTTATCTTCTTGACTCATTCATCAACTCATTGATAACTGGGGCGTTACTGATTTTTTTTTCATTTTATACTGTGAAAAGGAATGTTAGTGCACGTGTGTGTGTGTGTGAGTGTGTGTGTGAGTGTGTTTGTGTGTGTTTTTATCTTTGCGCTGTGTGTGAGAGAGAGAGAGAGAGAAAGAGAGTTTATATATAATTGAAATGATCTTTTGTAATTGTATTTATAATTACACATATCTTAATTTCATCTGGTGACATAATTTTGAATGGTTGATTGATTGACAGATTGATTAGTAGATTGACTAACTGACCTACTGATTGATTGACTTTTGGATTTAATGAATGATTGTTGATTGATTGATTGATTTGTTTGTTTGTTTGTTCAGATGTTTATGATTAATTTAGGTTCTAATATATTATTATTAGCTGTTCTTACAGCTTAATCAATTTAACATTCCTCTATAAAAATTTGTCACATAGTCAAATAGAACCTTCTTTCCTCTATTGTTCTATCCATTGGTGATTGCATTGTATTGCATGTTACCAGGTTAAATAATGTTATTCTTAAAATTTACACATGGCAATATTCGTGACGGTAGTAATTGTTATTATGTGTATCTGTGTGTGTGTGTGTGTGTTTGTGTGTGTATCTGTGTGTGTTTGTGTGCTTGGGAATTTGTGTGCAAGTCTATATCTGCTTGTTGTCTTTGTAAATTGTGCATGCAGTTTGAACATGTAATTTCGGGTATGTTTGATGTATTGTGTATGTATGTGTGTTTTTGTTTCTCTCTTTCTCTTTCTCTCTTTCTTACTCTCTCTTTGTTCTTTGTGTGCGTGTGCATGTGGGTGCCTGTATGTGTATAAGATCAAATTTTGTAGTAGTTTTCCTTTCAATGTTTACATTTTATTGAGTTACATAAATACATTTGTAATGTTACACCACCTCACTTAGCTCCTCTATCTCTCTCCTCTTTATCTTATCTCTCAATAACCCATCTGGAAATATATTTTAATCCATTTATGATTTTTTTTTCATTAATCATTCATTTTAATCAATATTACCATTAATCACTATTATATCTATATTAAAATTTAATATGTATATATATATATATATATATAAAATAACTATTATTATTAGTAGTAGTAGTATTATTATTGTTGTTATTATTATTATTATTATTGTGAGTTATTTTAAATTTAACCTCAGGTATGTTATTAAACACTGTTTATGCAATTGGTGTAACCTTGGCTATATTATGAAACACGCGCGCGTGAAATGCTTGCTTGAATACTGCATAGACATCCATGGGAATAACTAACAAGAAGGGGATGATTGTATTTGCTCGTGTGTACATTTACACATTCCAGTTCCTGTTTATGTGTTGAAGTTTTTCATGTTTGCAAGTATATATGATGTCTGTGTGTGTGTGTGTGTGTGTGTGTTGTCTTTGTATGTTTGTGTGTTCGTATGCGTGCGTGTGTGTATGTGCGTGAGTGATAGAGGATGTATTCATTTAATGCTGTTTTTATCCTTGAGACTTCTTTATAATACTACCAACATGAATATATGTATGTAAAAGATTAAATTGAATGAAATGAAATGAATGCCATGACTTCAGTGGCACATACTAAGTGATGCTGATTTTAAATGTTGCATTAGGACCTGTATAATTGTTGTTACAACATCACTGTATGTTTCTGTTGAATTTGTGCATATAAATATGGTATGTGTGTATATGCAAATATAGAACTTAATTTGTTCACAAATAAATGTTTTTGATGTATATTCAAAAGTGCTTACATAAATTTTTGTTTATATATTCTTCTCTTCCACATAATTGTAGATACCTCAGATACATGAAAATGACTGGTGCAGTAAGGTACAAACACATTCATAACAGCTCTTTTATATGCACAACCTTATTTTAAAAACATGGGCACAAGTGCACAAACAAATTTATTGATACTCATCAGGAAATGTACACAAACTCCTTGGGTCAAACAAACAAGCAGACGTATGCGCACATTAAAACACACAGACACGTACAAACACATACACTTACAAACAGATACACGCACATTCACACACACACATATACACACACACAGACGTTGGAGGGGCTGCACTACCTGCACACTGAATGCATGATAATTCACACTGACATCAAACCGGAGAACATCTTGCTGTGCGCTGACGAAGAGCACGTTCACAAACTGGCCTCTGATGCGTTTGAGTGGCATAAGCTGGGCATGAAATTGCCTGGATCAGCCAGTTAGTAATGCCTGGGTGTCTCTTCTATTCATTTAATTGCGCTCCAGTTGTAAATTATTGCACGGCTTAGATTTTTTTAGCCTACTCGTTTTCGTTTGTCATGTTTTGTTTTAGTTTTGTTGAATTTGATGCTTTTGAAAATAATCAATAAATTTTTGGTAAATTTTATATTTTATCGTCTAGACTTTGTTCATTATAACAAAAATTATTATCAGTTGTTATTCTATTCACTGAAATTTGAATTTGAAAACTTTTAGAAAACGCAGCTAGTTTTTCAATGGAAAGAAAGCTTCATACTATTTATTTAGTTAACTATTTATTTAGTTAGATTTTTGTAATTGTTTGATGTGACGCGTTCGCGTTTGTTTGATGCTTAACTTTAATCCTTCCGAATGTGAAATCATCATTCAAGTCAGCACAGCTCCGCAGGAGAAGAAAGTTGAGGGTAAAATGTCAAAAAATAAAAAGAAAAAATTGAAAAAGAAGAGAAAGCAGCATGAAAAACTTGTTGAAATACAACTGAGTCAGATGCAAGAAGTGAAACAGAAAAAATTACAGGTACCTCTCTGTTTTTTTATTTATCTCTCTCTTTATCTCTCTCTCTCTCTCTCTCTCTCTCTCTCTCTCTCTCTCTCTTTCTCTCTCTTCTTTTTGTGTTTTGATACACTTCTTTAGTTGCAAACAATTTGTTTCCTGCAACATTTTCTGTTTACTGTTTCCAAAAAAAATCTCTTTGCTTTTTATATTTTGGTTTTTATTTTTTTTCAAGTGTAGTAAAATGTATTTCATTAAGTAAGAGTTACTATCAATAATAATAATTAGTAGTAGTAGTAGTGGTAATAATAATAGTATTATTTAGCGTTATGTTACTTAGTGATTCAGTGAATGGCAGTGATGTTTGTGTTGTTTGCTGTGCATGGTTAATCACTGTCAGAATTTAACCTGAAAGAATTTTTAAAAAGTTTTATATTATTAATATTACTCAGAAATTAGCTGGTTCATTCAGCCTACATACGCATTGTGTTACTACTCTTGCTATCGTTACAAAATTATCATTATGAAACTAATGAACAAACAAACAAACAAATAAATGTTATAACCTTGAAAAATGAACATCTATTCCTGTATAAATAGCAGTCGATGTACGCTCTGAACGATTCCAACTCCTCCACGTCCCTTGTCCTGGCTGCCTCCTCATCCACGTCCGTCATCAAATCCAAGTCATTCAATGGCATCCCATCCATTCACACAACTGCCAACACTTTCAAGAACAGCCGCACACAAAATATGGGCGGCGATGATGATGAGGAAGAGGATGATGATGAGGAAGATGAAGGTGCTGGGAATATTTTACTGGCGTCTGGAGGAATGTTGAAGAATGATCTGTTGAGGAAACAGAAACCACCGACCGCAACCGCAGCAACCACATCATCATCATCAGCAACAACAACAACAACTGCCATTAAAACGAATAACCAGCAGGTCAGACCGTGGAGTGCTCTCCTCCCAGATGACATGAAGATTTATAGCAACATTGGGGATAGTGCCCAGATTAAAGGCCCTGGCAACTACATCAAAAACAATAAAATGAGCATATGTTAGTGTTATCAGTGTAATTTATCTTCCATTCTGCCCTTTCTTTCTTTCTCTATCTGTCTGTCTGTCTGTCTATCTATCTATCTATCTTAATTCCTTTGTTTCATTATGTATTATTGTTATTGCTGTTGATGTTATTTTTATTGTTGTCGTTGTTATTGTCATTTTTATCGTCTATCCAGTAAATCAAAATTCATCCTGTATGTGTGTATATATATATGTAAATGTTTTTTGGTATTTTGATTGTTTTATATTATTATTTATTTTGTTTTTGCATCAGGAATGATGAAACATTCTTCACATTTTAAATAGTAGTAGTAGTTGTTGTTGTCGTGGTTATAGTTATTGTTGTGTAGTAGTAGTAGTAGTAGTAGTAGTAGTAGTAGTAGTAGTAGTAGTAGTAGTAGTAGTAGTAGTAGTAGTAATTGTAGTAATTGTAGTAATGGTAGTAGTAGTAGTAGTAGTTGTGATAGTAGTAGTAGTTGTTGTTGTTGTAGAAGTTGTTGTAGTAGTAATAGAAGAAGTACTGTATAAGTAGTAGTAATGATAAAAAGCAATAATAATAACTATACATATATGGTGACATTTGGATTGAATTTTATTATACTTAAATGGCTAGATAGCTTGGTAGGTGGGTCGACATAAAGATGTCTGTCTGTAGAAACAATATAAAACATTTGCTCGTTTGTTTCTATCTATGTAATGGTTTTATTTGGCTTGAAATTAAAAGTAAATTGTTTGTAACTGTATGTCTCAAGTAGGTCTAGTATTGATGCACACAATTGTTCATTATGAATGATGATTATGAATAGTTGTATAACTTGATATGGTACTTGATATGTGATATATGTATGCAGTGAGATTAGAGATTAATTTAACTGGATATAATATTTTCAAACATCCATTACCTGCATGTACTGTGGATACAAATTAATTTTTTCATTCTCGCCAGCATCTTTAAAAAGTTTTGACGATGAGGAGGAGGAAGATGATGATGATGAGGATATTGATGATGATCCTCTGCAGGAATGCGACATCCTCCAACAAAATTTTTTATCTCTCCAACAAAAATCTTCATCAGCAACAGCAGCTGCAGCGACAACAGCTGCTGCAACAGCGACAGCTGTGCAACAAAACCAGCAACAAAAGGGATTACTAGAGGCAAAGTTCCACAATTTATATGATGGTCGCGCCATTACGAATGAATACAAAAGTGTTGACGGCGATAATGTTGCTTCAAATGTGCGTGCCGTAAAAAGCCAACCGGATGGTGTTGAAGCAGCTGACAGACAGCACAAAAGTAGCAACAAGATGCTATCTAGCGCAACTAATAATGAGTCAAACGACAAATCAACATCTAATGATTGTAACAATTTTAATAAACTGGCCAACAACAACAACAGCACCGACAATAACATTAACAAAAAAAATAACAACAACAACAAAAATATCAGCAACGGTAATAAAAACAACAAAAATAAAAAATCGGCTAATAATACTAAGCAGGGTGGCAAAAACAATTCAAATACAAATACTAGTGCTAATTCTAACCCTAACCCTGCAAATACAATCTCCGTAACTATAACCACTACCGCCACTACTACTGCTGCTGCTACTACTGGTAATAATAGTAATAATGCTTCTGGCAGCAATAATAATAATAAGAAGAAATATAAGAAAAGAAAGAAAAACAAAAATAAAACTACAACTGGCTATGGGGAAAACCAAGACCATGGTAGTGATAATAATGCAATCAAATACACCAAAGTTAATGATGACGTCATTTCAAGAAATAACAACGATGATACAGTATCCAAGCACAACAACGGTGATATAGTATCTAAAAATAGCACCGGTGATACAACTTCAAAGGGTAACGCCCATGATGCCAAAAATAGCAATGATTGTGATTACGCAGTTTCTAAAAATGGCAACGATGATTTAGCTTCTAAATATAGCCAGGCAGCCATTAGCGGTGTTGGCGGCGGCGATAATGATGACGACGATCCTGCCATGTTCAGATCTTTAGAGGATAATGAAGATTTAAAAAATCAAAGTTTTTTTTTTGTTTTATTTTTTTTTTCTAAAATTTTTTCATCCAACTTGTCTTTTACTAAAAGCTCCTTGTAATCAGATGAGTAGTATTGTGAGTTTTCATCTGGCAAGTTGGAAGTAATTCTTGTTATTGTTCAATTTGTTAAAATATTTTTTTTATCTTTTATCTGATTGATGAATCATTTGCTTATCTGGTTGATTGATTGATTGATTGGTTGATTGATTGAAAACTTCAACAGCAGCTGATCAGCTATCACCATCATCAAGAAGACTGGATCCTGTGAGAGATGTTTTCGACATACCTGTCAAAATTGCTGATCTTGGAAACGCTTGTTGGACTGTTAGTTTTATGAATGAATGATTGATTGATTGATCGGTTGATTGATTGATCGGTTGATTGATTGATCGGTTGATTGATTGATTGATTGATGGTTGATTGATTGATTGATGGTTGATTGATTGATCGGTTGATTGATTGATTGATCGGTTGATTGATTGATTGATCGGTTGATTGATTGATTGATCGGTTGATTGATTGATTGATTGATCGGTTGATTGATTGATTGATCGGTTGATTGATTGATTGATCGGTTGATTGATTGATTGATCGGTTGATTGATTGATTGATTGATCGGTTGGTTGATTGATTGATTGATCGGTTGATTGATTGATTGATCGGTTGATTGATTGACTGACTAACTCAACTAACAACCTGACCAACTTAATTAACGTACAGTACCATCACTTCACTGATGACATTCAAACGAGACAGTACAGATGTCTTGAGGTGCTCATTGGAGCAGATTATGGACCCCCAGCTGACATCTGGAGTACTGCTTGCATGGTATGCAACTTTTTGTTGTTGCTAATTTGTGTTGTTTGGATTTTCATTAATCAATTTATTTATTATTAATAATTTATTCGTTGGTTGCAGGCTTTCGAATTAGCAACAGGTGATTACCTGTTTGAGCCGCACTCAGGTCCAGGTTACTCGCGGGATGAAGACCACTTAGCGCACATCATCGAACTCCTCGGGCCCATCCCGCCCCACATTGCACTGGCTGGCAGGTACTCTAGAGAATATTTCAATAGCAGAGGTTTGTGTAATTTTTTGAGGAGTTCTTTTTTGGTTATTTACGGTTGCTGTTATTCCGTTCTGTGGTTCTTTGCCTGTTTAATGTGCTGTTTTCTTGCTTGCTATTTTTATTATTTTTTAAAAATTATTACGTCTGATTTTTCATTTGGCTATTTATGCTGTTTGTAGGAATGATAAGAGTTTGCACATTGTTTCATTTGTATGTTGTTTGAATTATTTTTGATATAAATATTTTTGAGTTGATGTTTATGGCGTAAAACTTTTACAAATCAGTGACAAAACCCTGCATAACGAACCAGGTGAACTCCGACATATAAACGGCCTGAAGCCCTGGGGACCTTACGAGGTCCTGGTCGAGAAGTATGGCTGGAACCCGCAAGAGGCACAATCCTTCGCTAACTTCCTCATCCCCATGTTGGAGTACGATCCCCGCTACAGAGCCACTGCAGCTCAGTGTCTCGAGAATCCATGGCTTACTGGAGTCAGTCCCAAAAGTTCATTGACATCGGTCGATAAGGAGATGATGATGATGTTAGCGTCGAGATGTTACGATGAAGATGACGATGACGACGATCCTTATCAGTATCATCATCATCTACAACATCGTCCCTATCCTCATCAGCCTCTCCAGTTTGATGCCGGCAGGCAGAAGTTTGGAGGGGCTGTCGTCGGAGTTGAAGATGTCTGTGAAGATTATTTCAGCACTTCGGATGATAATGATGATAACAACAACAACAGTGGTGATGATGATAACAATGTTATCGTTGCAGATAATGATGATGAAGATGAGGACGATGATGAAGACGGTTATGAGGATGAAATTGCCCTTGCAAATGGACTCGTCAAGTGGTTGGTGAATTTGAGTTTTCACGCTATTTAATGAAACCACATGTTTGTTTAGCTTCACTTAAAGGTAATAGTAAATAAAAAATTTGCAAAAACTTGAGAGGTGGCTTGAAAATTGATTGGATTGTTAGTGTGAAATTGTTAATGAAATTGTAGGCAGCCTGGGATGGAGGCAGCAAGTGCAAATGGTCCGAGCCAGATGTCGAGACAACAACAACAATACCAGCAACAGTATCAACAACTGCAACAACGTTATCAGCAACAGCAACAATTTCTGCAAGTGCAACAATTTAAACATATCAGATCACTGGACAATGGAATGGCATTGAATAGTGACCCAAACCTCTGGCAACAGCAGAAACATCAGCAAGAGCAGATGTTGCTTCAACAGAAATTAGACCAGCAAAAGAATGAACAGTTGAAATTCATTCAAGAGCAGCAAGATTTTTACAAGTATTTCATTGAACAACAACAGCAACAGCAGCAACAACAACATCAAAAATTTCAACAGCAACAACAACAAAATCAACAACAACAGCAACAGAGTAATAGTAGCGTAAAGACCCAGTCCTATATTGATCCACATGTTCTTGAAAAAGGTCTGCAACAACTTCACGAGATGCACATGACCAGACTCGCTCAACAAAGCAGCAGCAACAGCAGCAACCTCAACAGCGTCGTTGCAGCTGCCAACAACAACGTAAACAACAACAACAACGGTAACTATGTAAATAACAATGTAAATGTAAACAACACTAACAACAACAATATTTCAGTGGCAGGCAAAACTTCTACGAATTATGATTACAAGTTAAACAACTGTAACAACAACTACATCTATCAATTTTCTGATTTATCATTGAATAACAACGACGACGACGATGATGACGATGACGATTACGAAGATGTCGTTGGTGTTAGCGATGTAAACAATAAACTCAGCTACTGTGGCAATAACATCAGCAACAGCATCAGCAGCAACAGCAACAACAACAACGTTACGAGCAAGAACAAGGCTAGCAAGCACATCGACGATGATGACGACGGTGAGGATGGAGACGACGACGATGACGACGAGGAGATATATTCGCCATCTGTGGAGAAGAAAAAACTTTTCCGCCATAACCTTGCCAACCACAGCTATCCCGCACATCATCCTCATCCAAACGCATCTCACCAGCGACAACACTTTCATCAGCGGAACTCTAACTGATAGATAATAACAACAACAACAGCTATTACGTCACAATAACAACTACGACTACAACTATTAAGTCATCACCAGTTTTACCGTTGATGACGGCTATAATGACATGGAAGTAACGGAGTGGTTATGATGTATATATGACAACATAGTGATTAAGACAACAACAGTAATGTATCATCGTTATTATTATTGCTGTTGTTGTTATTGCCTTTGTTTTTGTTGTTTTTACTGTTGTTGCTGTTGTGGATGTGAGGATGGTGATGATGATGAGAATGATGATGATGATGATGATACAATCTCTATTTCTCCTTATCATCTTAAGAGAGTTCTGGCATATCTTAGTCATTCTTAAAACAATCTACCTATGAAAACAACTAAACACACGCACTGGATTGTGCTACATTTTCTTGTATGTATATAAATATGTACGTGTGTGTATGCGTGCGTGCGTGCGTGTGTGTATGTGGGAACATGTACGTGTCTGTTCTGTTTCTGTGTACGTGTGTGTTTTTGAGTGTGTGGTCGTGATGTGTTTTGTGTGTGTCTTCAGTTTTTTTTTTCTTCCCTTCAATTTCATTTAGTTGTAATTTAAAATTTTGTTGCTTTCCATCTAAAGTTTGTTACACTTCAATAACAAAAATCTCTTTTTATATATGTATGTGGATATATATATATATGTTAAACTTAATAATAATATTTTGAATTTTAATAAACTAAAATTGAAAAAACGAACTACAAACATATTAACGCCAAACATTCGGTAGAATTTATAGAATATTGTGAAAATTATGGTCTATTACCAACATATATATATATATATATATATATATATATATATATAACGTTTAGAATTGGACCTCACATGAAGGCGGTTTTTGATAGGTTGTTAATTTGGGAAGCACTTAACCAAGCACCTAAACACACCTTCCTTTCTTTTTCCATCAATGGTTTTTTTATAACAAATATATATATTAGTAATTCAGTTTAGCATTATATATATATATATATAAATTGTGATAATAATATTATAATTATTAATACTGTTTAACATAGTCATATAGTTGTTTTGTTTCAGTGAATTAACTAGTTTATTGTAGTGTAGCGTCAGATGGGTTATCAATCTCGCAGATAAGAGCTTCTTATGTAAAAATTTTTGTATTGTAAATAAATTAGATATCCATCTAGATACATTGGCGTTTTAAAATGATTAGAGAGAGAGAAAAAGAGAGAGAGAGAGAGAAAAAGAGAGAGAGAGAGAGGGAGGGAAAGCGAGAGAAGAGGGAGGGAGGGAGGGAGAGAGAAGAGAGAGATGCACATGCCAATATGTCATTTACATGCCAACGTATTTAGATAGATATCTAATCATTTTACAATGCCAATATATCTAGATTATATTTCAAAATGATGTTGCTATTTGTTGTAACACTGATGTTTGTAATGACGGCGGTGATTAACCGGGAGAGAGAGAGAGAGGGAGAGAGAGAGAGGAAGAGAGAGAGAGGAAGAGAGAGAGAGACATTGACATAGACATATTGTGATGATGATGCTGATGTAAGATTGTTCAACGCAACAGGCGAATGTTGAAAAATGATGATAACATTTGAAAATAACAACGACAGATGACATAAATGATAAATAGATGATGATGAAAACGATGATGTTTGTGAGGTTATGTCATATTTTTCTTACTGAAATATTATTATTATTATTATTATTATTATTATTATTATTATTATTATTATTATTACTACTACTACTACTACTACTACTACTACTACTACTACTACTACTACTTTCCCATTGCGTTCGTCGAAATGAATTTCAAATTTTTATTCTGTCTAGAATTGTTTTATTGTGAAGCCATTTTTTATGATTTGCTCTCACGCGCCAGTGTAATTTCTTCTACCACAATACATCAATAACATTCAATGGCTGGACTGATCTGATTGATATGTCTACTTTATTTGTTAATATAATTAATAATAAATTAATATTATTATTAATATTATTATTGTTAATATTATTGTTATTGATTTCGATTTACTCGTTGCAAAATTATCACAATTGACATTCGAGATATATTTTTCTAAAATTAAAGTTCTTGCAATTTTTTTTATACCGATTTCAAGATTTAATCACCAATTAATTAAGTAATTAATTACCAATTAATTAAGTGATTATTTAACTAGTTTACAACAAACGGACGTACACACACACACACACGTACACAAATGTGCACTAAAACGTACAACAAGAAAAGGCAATCACGGCAACAACAACAACAACAACGTCAGCCAAAAAACAACAATGTTTCTCTTAAAAGTACATATGTATATTTGATTGTTAACTAGTTCTAACTATTCCTCAATCTTTTTGGTTTTATTTGTTCTTTTGTTTTTTTTCAAATTCCATAGTACGAAAAATGTTTGGTGTATATATACAGACATACAGACATATATAAATAGCTATTATAACACATAGATAAAGATACATACACAGATGTATATATATATATATATATATATATATATATATATATGTGTGTGTGTGTGTGTGTGTGTGTGTGTGTGTGTGTGTGTGTGTGTGTGTGTGTGTGTGTGTGCGCGCGTGTGTGTATAGTGGTATAAATATGAAATATATATGTATATCGATTTTTAAAATTTTTCAAAAATGTTGAGTCGAGTTGTTTTTATGACGGGTTCATTTTTTGGGATTTGTATATACATTAGTTTTTTTTTTTTTTTTTGTTTAAACTGCAAAGTTACAAAAT